CTAGCCGCCTACCGTAGGGAAACAGCGCCGGCATTTCGCGGACCCGATCTTGCAGACCCGTCCGTGATCCAAGATGCCGCAAAGTGTCCCGAGGTCGATGCCGTCTGGCACGAGACGCTGCGCATGTTGGGCTGGTCAGCGTCGGTCCGGTTCGTCACACGAGATACCGTCATTGGCGGGAAGCGCATGCGCAAGGGCAGCCGTATCCTTGTGCCGCATCGACTGCTGCATTTCGACGAGGGCATATTCGGCGATGCCACGCACCAATTCCGCACCGAGCGCTGGCGCAGCAACAAGAACCTGCCTCGCAGTCCCTCGTTCCGGCCGTTTGGCGGTGGCAAGACCATGTGTAGCGGACGGTTCATTGCCCGCTTCTCCGTGACGATCTTTGTAGCCACGCTCCTGCACCGCTTCGACGTCGAGCTGGTGGGAAGCCCAAGGTTCCCCCGTGCCGACGAGGGGCGACCTGTGCTGGGGACCATGTCCATCAGGGAGGGTGATGATTTCAATATCATGCTGACTCCCAGGCCGGAGTTTGCAAAATGTAGGGACGAAAGTGGCGCGAGTACTCTTGGATCAGGCTTTTTGGAGTGGTGATAGCTGTGTCGCACAGGATATAGGGGGTACTAACACATCAATACATGTGGCGTGGCCACGCCCATTTTTTGGTGCGATAGGCTGTTACTCCGCATGCTAGTTGCTTGAGCCGCAACGGATACTGGATTCACAGCATTTTCTCTTCCTAGATTTGGCTACGCTTCCGAAAATTAAAGAAGGAAAGAGCAGCGGGGGAGGCGGGTTAGTTTATAGCTCTCGTTTTGAAGGTTATAGAGAAACAACCTCGGTTTTTGACGAGTTGCGAAGCTATTAATCTTTTGCGTGGCTGCTAGGCAAATATGACAACAATTGGAAACCAAGTTACCATGCTTCAGTAGTTCATCTAGCCAGTCACGATTGTTCCAATGTGGCCAAGATTCAGCTGTGGAGTGTCATCAAGACAACGCGCCAAACGCAGCACCGAGGTCTGCCAATTTTCCCGTCTCGTCCCGGCGCACTACAGCCGCTTCGGGCCTCCAGCCCGGCTGGAACCTCGCCGGCCATCTCCGAATCGGAACCTCGACGGAACTCCACCTCCACCTTGCTCCCCGCATCCGTCGAGCCAGAAACCTCGGAAAGTCGGGTTCTAATCTGACCTCCGAAACCGACTTCGGTCTCTCTTCAATACCCGACTTGGCGAGCAGTATTCACATATATATGCCGCCGTACCGAAAGCACACGGTTAGAAACCATCGCCACCACAACGAAGCACACACATCGTCATGGGAAACACACTCTCCTACACTACTCAACAACACACCGTCGACCTCGGCCCCCGCGGCAGCATCACAGGCCTGCAGTACGACAACAAAGCTCGTCGCTATGCCGCCGTGCCGTACGCGCTGCCTCCCACCGGCCAGCATCGATGGCGCAAGCCTCGCCCTCTCCCTCCGTCATTCACATACTCCCCTGCCAACCAGCCATTCAACGCCACGGAGCTGCGTCCCCCCGCGGCACAGGAGGACCGCGACCTGGCCACGGGGCAAGTCAACTCTGCGAATGACGGCGTCAAGGGCACAGAAGACTGCCTGTACGTCAACATATGGACCCCGGTTCCCGCCGACGCAGCCGCGACTGCAAAATGGCCCGTCATGGTATGGCTGCACGGCGGGTGGTTCCAGGTCGGCGACGCATGCCACGACGCAGCCAGCGACCCGACCGAGCTGATTTCCACGGGGGGCCTGAACGCCATCGTCGTAGCCGTGAGCTACCGCCTCAACGTATTCGGCTTCTTGTCCTCGGGCGCCCTGCTCGAGGAGAGCGGCGGCGAGGCCGCAGGCAACTTTGGCCTGTGGGACCAGAGGCTCGCCCTGGAATGGGTGCACGACAACATTGCCGCGTTTGGGGGGGACGTGGACAACATGACGATTGCGGGCAGGAGCGCGGGTGCGTACGGCGTCGAGGCGCAGATTCTACATGACTTCCGACGGCATCGCAATCCGCGTGCAGGAAAGCTGTTTCGCCGCGCGTGGATGTCGTCGAATGCGATTCCCGCGCAGCCAAAGACTGTGCAGGACGCCGAGGCGCAGTTCGACGAGGTCTGTGAGCACTTTGGTATGCCGGCTTCGTTGCCGCCGGCGCAGAGGCTCGCGCGGCTTCGGGCCACGAGCGAAGCAGACCTCGTGAAATGCATCCGCCACTTGAAGAGCCATACCTTTCGCCCTGTGACGGACGGGCTGTTTTTCCACGCCGGCATGGTCGAGTACCTGCAGTCGGAGGCCTTTGCGGAGGCCTTTGCGTCGCGGGGGATGAAGCTGCTCATAGGAGAAGTTGCTAATGAGGAGACGCTGTACGCGCAGTTTAATGGGCCGACGGAGCCGACTCTGGAGTCGTTGCGGCTCCAGGCGGCGAATTACTACTCCCCTGCGGCGACGGCCAAGATTCTCGGACAGTATTCGCTCCCAAAGTCGCGTGACATTAGGGATTGGAAGGACGCGTTTGGTAGAATCATTGCGGATGGACAAGTTCGAGCGTCGAGTAGGTATTTGGTTGACGCGCTGAGCAGACATGGGCTCACGACGAGGGATATTTGGCGGTATCGAATTGATTATAGATTGAGCTTCATTGACGAGACGGTTGCGCCGATGGAGTACGGGGTTAGTCACGCCATGGACGGGCCCCTGTGGAAGTAAGTTTGTTGACTTTTCTCCTGTGCGCGTCGATGTGGAGGCTGTGAGTTCTAATTAGCGCAGTTATTCCATCAATCAGCTTCCGACAGATGAGGAGCGCAAAATGTTGGATACATGGGTCAAGATACTGGTTGCGTTTGTTGGTGGTGATGAGGACTTTGACTTTGGTACAAGGACCATCGACGAGGTCAAGGTGCTCACAAGTAAGATGGATGTTGCGATTGAGAAGGATGCGAGATATAACGAGCTTCGAGAGCTTGGTGCCATATTCTCACAAAACTGATTGTGCACTGGATGTGTAGTCAGAAGCGAACCGAGCCCTGAAACAATTTATAAGATGATTGAGGATAATCATATTCTATGAGATATCTAAGGTATAATGCTCTATCAATGTAAATCTAAAGGCTTCAAACGCCGCGCTAATGATGCTCCTCGAGTACTTCTTCTTGTATGTCCTTTCCGGCAGGACGTACCGCATAATCCAGACTGGCGGGCAGTGTTCTATGCCGGCCTCTCAACATGACAAGGCAAACCACCAGCTTACTGCCAGCGCGCCAGCCACCACAAAAACTGTAATTGGCTCCGGGCGAGCCGACGGATATTCCAACGCAGCCGTATGCGGATATAATCTCAAATATAATGTTGAAAACACTATATGATACTGGATCCTCGGCAAAGTGCGGCGCTTCGATGACGGTGATGATGAATGTGGCCAGTGCGAGCAACCAGATGTCATCGGCCAGCTGACCCCTAATTTGCTGCGAGATGAACAGCCGCCTTGTTCGAAACGACCTGAGGGCCTTGGCGTATGGATCGACGTATTCCTCGTCTTTGGTTGACTCGACGGCAAATAGTCCCAGGGAGCGCTCCTCATACACGTTGGAGTTGCGCATGGTAATGATGACTGGGTAAACGGAAATGTACATCATGATGACATAGAGCACTTGAAGACCAATGTGTGTCTTGGCAATGGGGACAATGTAAAAGCCTCCCGATCGGACCGCTGTAGGCAGTATTGGTTAGCAGCTGTGGAGAATAAACCCCATGGGACAGAAGGAAGCGACTCACCGACAGCCTGGAAGAGCCCGTCCATGATGCGCGGTCCAAAGGGTATGGCAGAGATGACGGGATTTCCGATGTTGAGAAGCTCAAATGCCGCCCAGTCTATGCCATTTAGCATCAGTACCATGAAGGCAAGCCACCAGGTGTGCTGCGTAGGAAACAAGTTTGTGTAGACACGGCGGGGATAGCGCAGGATGTATTCTAGGGTCGACCGCCATTCAGTGACAATGGGTCCTTCAGGGAAGACATGCAGGACCTTTAACACAGACCAAAGGAGAAACCGAAGAAATATCGGGTAGGCCGTATTCCCGGCCAGAATTAAAAGGCCCATGGTCACCAAGACATAGTAGGCCGCCTGAAACGGCACCATGTTTGCGTCGAGCAGCGACATGCCGGAGTTGTTGAAGGCAGAGACGCCGTTGAATATGCCGAGCCACCATGGATTGATGCCGTTTTCCAAAGCCGGGCGCGGTTGGTTTGTGGCAATCCAAGCTCCCAGGCCGAGGCAGCCAAGGACTTGCCAGAGGGTGAAGTACAGCGGAACAATGAGAGAGAGTAGTTGAAGGGCTTTGTGCTCGATGCTACTGACTTGGATCCTCTCTTGGGCAGTCAGGTTGATGAAATCGCCGTTTCGTCCCATGTTCTTGCTTGTCAGGAACGCTAGAGGGTTGGGCGTAGGTTCCTCCAAGGGTTCGCCAAGCGCTTGTTCAGAGCCAGGGTTGAGCAAACGTCTGTTGCGGCTCCCCAAAGGTGCAGGAGGACTGAGACGGGATGCCTGTACCGACAGTCCCTCGAACGGCTCTGCATCGCCCTCGGTCGCTTTTGCCTCACGGGCTTCACTGTCCGAGGCATTCTGGTAGGCGCCAGGATAGGGTACATGGACGCTCTGTCGACGGTCCAATGGAGGCCGAGCCAGGCCATTTCGAGCCAGAAGCCGGCGAAATGAGCGTTTTCTCGCGGAAACAAGCCATATTGAAACCCATACGGCACTGCCACAGATCATCAGCAAGCAGAGCAGGACCTGTTGTGCCGTCGTCAGTTTGCTGAGGTCGACTGTGTTGAGACCGGTTTCCGTGACGCCGGACACGACCATGAACAGGCTGTCAACATAGGTGACGGAGAGTTTTGGCGCCGACAACAGCCAAAACACGACGGAGCTGATCAACGAGACGAAGATGAAGTAGGCGTAGTGGAGAGAGACGAAGTTGACGTGGTGGCTGCCAAGGCGGGAGACGCGCCGCCAAGCCGCGGCCAAGAGCGCGCATGTGCCGTGCTGCGCGTTTCGGAGACTCATTTCCATTGAACTGGCCTGTCTGGCACTCACTCATCTCCTCGAGGGCCGTGGCGGGCACGGGCTGCTTAAAAGGTCGGCGATGCTGGCTTCTGAAATTTTCCATCATCAACGAAATGGCACTTGAACGAGACCAGCACGACTCTTCCCGTGAGATTACTGGTCAACTGGCAGCAGACGGAAGCAGCCGTCAGACCAGCACCTGCCGCCCCTGCTCTGGTGCGCCGCCGCGGCCCCACCGTCCAGCCAGCCGTCAATTGGTCCAATCAATGTTTCATTCGTCAACTTAACCTACCCTAAAGCTCAAAATTGTTTCAGTCGCGTCATGAACCATGTCCGCACGGCAATGCATGGTCAGACCTGTGCAACCATGCTCGGGCGTAGCGATGGGAGTGATGACGGGTCATATGGCCCTTTGGGCCGACCCCGATGCACTTCGCTCAAGTTGACCCTTCACATTGATGCATGTCTCGTTGCCAGTCAAGACAGTTACCCAATGCCGATGTCGGCCGCAGCGACTTGGTATTACAACTCGCCGACGTGAGATATTGTCAGTTTTCACAGATGCCTGGGCTTCCGCCGCAGACTCGCCTATTTCCCAGACCAAAAAAAAAATTACTCGGTATTTGAATACAATTCCACACGTAGGTGTTTTACAGAAGGGGGGAGCCGGGGGGGGCTTTCTATTGTGTAAACTCCAAAGATCCTTTTCGACAACCCAAACTACCAGAAGACCGAGATCATGTAAACTTTGGATCGCAATCATCATCCTATACAGGACGTAGCACCAGCGACCACTTTTATGTTTGGTTGTATCCTCCTCTCTACGGAGTATACATGTGGTGGCACACTGACCGATCGAGAGGATGATGGACGTGTATTGCGGTGGCCTTGTGCAGTCCGCCAGCGAGACGACTTCATTGACTGTTCGTTCCAAAACCTTGGCTGCTTGCTCCGTAGTGCGGGAAATGATCGCCTCTCACGTCAACAAAGGTTCAGAACCTGACGCAAATGACCCCACCGATTCCTTTGTCTCGAGCTGCCGCACTCGTTGTTCATTCGGTGCGCAGACCTGGTCCGATACAACTTCAAAGAGCTTACATCATCTCATTCATTGTTCTATCCGTCATGTTTCACGTCTACCCAGTATTTAGGGGGTTGCGAAGCCACTCCCATTCTCAGCCTGGCAGGCGACCGCAGTCTACAACCACCGTGAAGGCAACGATTTGTCATAATTGCGAAAGATGGACCCTCGTCCCGTTACTCGGAACTCGATGATGCAGTCCAGTTCCCAGAGCTTCGACGCTGATGTTTTGGGAACGGGAGATTCATTCGCACCAAAAGAGTTGGGGAGAGACATGTCGATCGAGACCTTCTTTCTCGATGACGCCGAGTCGAGCATGAAAATACACCCTCAAGCGGATAGCAGAGTCTACATTGAATCCCGATCTCGAAAGCAACACTTTGACTTTGAGTAAGATGAGTCTGAAATGGCAACCCAAGAAACCACGCGACTGGAGCTGACAGTGCATATTGCAGTGTTGTCTTTCTGCACTCGCATGCTGTGGATAGATATGATACTTGGAGATGCGGAGATGTGTTCTGGCCGGACTACGTCGTCGATGACTTCCCAGGAGCCCGAGTGGTGTTGTTCAATTATGACACCAAGATATGGACGCATTTTGGTGTTGAGGATATAGAAAAGACGGCCAGCAACCTAGTACGCGTGCTCGGAAATGCCCGACAAGGTGGCTACGGGGGAAAGCCGATAATATTTATCGCACACAGTCTCGCTGGCTTCCTGCTTAAAGCAGTACGTTGCCATGTCTCTTCTCCCCCCAACTTGCCATGTTTCTCACCAAACACTTTAATAGGCGTGTATTAAATGTATGCAAGACTCCGAAGACTTAATCGGCGGAAGCATTCTCCATTCCATGAGAGGCGTCATCTTCCTTGGCACACCGCACAGTTCCGTATCTGTGGGCGGGTGGCAGCCCATCTTACAAAGAGTTCATGAAGTAGCCGGCACGTTCCCCGAATCTTCTGCCAACTTGGACGCTGTTGCCGTGAGAGCGGCCGTCGACGTCTTGTCAAAGTTCTACCCGGTTCTTGAGGCGACCAAGATGCGCATCTTCTCATTTTTTGAACAGCACGAAGCATCCGGAGGCAGTTTGCCTATTCTGGTATCTCAAAGCTCAGCAAAAGTTCCCTTCATAACCAGTACTGATAAAAAAACAGGTCACGAGCTTCGAGAATGGGCTTCATCATCCGTGCGAGACGCGCGAGACACTCCCAGGGAACTATATCACCATGTGTCAATTCGAAAGTCGCCTCGATCCCGGTTACCTATTGCTTAGCAATGCCATCCAAGCCATCCTTTCTGTCCCCGGGAACCTCGATGTGTCCATCTCCAACACCCCAGTCGCGCTTCTGCCGTCTAGGATGGAGCTGAGTACTGTATTTGCTGTCCAAGGTACTGCTGACATGATTTCTTTACGAGATTTGAGAACCATGACTGAACTCGTCTACAGCTCTTCTGTCTTCAAAAACTCTACACAAGCCAAGTGACCAGGATGATAATGCCACTCTAATACCGCCATCCATCATGTATCAATTCGCCCCCACTGGTAAGCCTTTATTTAATGCCAAGATTTTCATTCAACTCCTAATATGACACGCAGTCAAGCTGCGCCGATTAAAGAGACTTTTGGCCTTCCCGCAGTCGTATATTACGGATGATCTTTCTATGCGCAGCCGAGACACGCTGAGCAAAACCGAATGGGTAGTGAACAGTCATGGCTTCAGGGAATGGCTTGACTCCGATAGTCTGCTTATTATCCGAGGACCCAGAGGATCGGGGAAATCGACGCTCACATACCGAATAGCTCACTTCCTTGGTGTGGAGAAGGAAGAGGACCTCGACGATACCCCTCGAAGATGTGTGCTGAGCTACTTCTATAGAAATACTCTAGGCTCGGATGATGTCATTGTTCAGATGCTCAACCAATTCCTACTCCAGTTTCTCGAGATTATGCCTGTCCTGGCTCGTCACTTCCCGAATCATCGTGTTTTTGGTCGTGCGAGACCAAGTTGGCCGGAGTGGGATGAGCAAAATTGGACCGCATATGACGAGGATTCGAAAAAGATGTGCCCTGATCTAGATACCTTATCACGAGAGACCGAGTCGACCCGTGGATTGAGCAGCAAGGACCTTCTTATCAGCCCCTTCACTGTTCCGGAACTTGTTGAGATACTGATATCGATTATCCACGACGAGCTAGTTGGCGAGGTCATCATGGTCATTGACGGTCTGGACAACTCCTCAGAGATATCCAAGTCTCTATTTCAGCGTTTCCTTGAGTTAATTGAGACAATGAGAAGCAAGCAGGTTAAAGTCTGCCTCAGCTGCGATACTGCTCAGATACATTCTTTGAAGCACATCGTGGCTCTGGACACGCTACATAACTTTGAGCCTGTTCTTCAACCAGATGAAAACCTCGATATTCTCTTCCGTTCCGTGCACGAGAAGTACAGAGTGATTCCGTCTAGGAAAAATGAGTTGATGCTACTGGCTGGGAAGATTCGTTCTATATGTATGCGGTCCCACCTGGCTGTAAGTCTGGCTCGTCAAATCCTAGGCGGACTATCCTCACTTGATGACATGAAAGCATTCACTGCCACCTTGGAAGAGTGCCGCATGGGGCATCTAGAACCAGAAACTGAGATTGATAAGCTTTATCACTGGGCATTTGATCATTTGATCATACTTCGCGGATGGAGGCACATGAGTCTGCTTTTCTTGATTGCGGTGGCAGAGCGGCCTCTGAATCTCGCCGAGGCAAATGCCTTGGTTCCCTCTCCATCAGAGTTTGTATCTTGGTGTGATGAAGATTATAAGATGGACACTACTCTTTCGGACGAGAGAAATGCGAGCAAGCCTTTCCCCGAAACTGATACAATGCAAGGAGTACATGCTTTAGAATCGAAGCTTCTCGGACTGGTCAGAATTTCCAACGGCATACTGACCCTCTTTCACCACGATCTCAAGACTTTCCTCCTGCAGAAATTGTCTGACAGCCATCTCAGATTCCACCTTCATTATCATATTGGAATCGCATGTCTTACGTTGCTCCAAGATCTGATACAAGGAAGCAGCCAGATGACATACGACCTGGAGAGTCAGAGGTACACGCTGCCAGTCGAAAACTTCAGTTATCCCTTAAGGTACTGGACCAGGCATGTCTCTATAGCCCAATCATCTGACCAGTGGGGCAACTACCATTCGGTCCGGGTTTTGTCTCTGCTGGCCGGCCCCTGGGATAACGCCGAGGTTCGCGATCTTATCCGCGGGTTCTCCCCGGCTAGGCTTCCACCGGTCTCTGCCTTTTCCATACCTTGTATACTCGCTGCTCACGATTTGGCAAAGGTTTTGGAAGTTTTCTATGTCGAGATACTAGGGCAACTGCCGCGCAGGGATATGAATCTGTCCCTAGAACAACGATGTGCCGTTGTGAATTCTGGATCTAAGGCGCTGGCCGTCATGCAAAGGTATGGACTGGAGAGTGCCTCGAGTGATCAATACGGCAGAACCATTGAGAATTACAAAGCTTGGGCAGAATCAAGACATGACGCGGAGCAGCTTCTTCTTCCTGATTGGATCCGCGAGGCTATATGGATAGACAAAATGGGTAAATGTGACTGGGGGACAGTACGAGGCATTGCAAAAAACGCCTTTGATCACAAAAAATGGTCAAAGGATTCCTTTCAGCAATTAATTGCTCTTGCTGTCCGCCGAAATGACGTGGAATTGGTTGCAGATCTCCTTGATGATGGAGCACGCTGCCATTATATTGACAAAGATGATCCACGGAAGCCTTCTGTTTACCATATTGCTACCTCAATAGGCAACACAGATTTGGTGCAGGAACTCATCCACCACGCCTCACTATTCTGCGCCACTGATGCATTTGGTATGCGTCCCATACACTGGGCTGTTGAGCGCGGCCACCACGAGATGGTCAAACTCCTTGTCACGGCAACATTAAACCAAGATGAGCGAGGCCAAATTCCACTGTTCATGGCCTGCGAAGGCGTCTCACCAACTACAGTATTGGCTGTCTTGGAACAAGGCTTTCCCCCCAGTTTCACTGACAAACTGAATCGAACACCAATGCATGTCGCTTCGTCCATCGGAGCAACAGACGTGGTTCAGCTTATTTTGTCCAAAGGGGGAGACCCCGAGGCTCAAGACGACAAGGGAATCACGCCACTTCATCTTGCCGCATTTGGAGGTTGGACCGGTGTAGTTGATGAACTATTGGCGTCCGGGGCCTTCACCGATGTTACTACAAACGACCAGCAAACACCGCTACACTTTGCCTGCGAATCGCCTAACCCTTCATTGGAGGTCGTTTTTACTCTCCTACGGCGGCAAGCCAACCCGTACGCCAAAGATTCCGAAGGCATGACACCGCTACATATCGCAGTGAGGAATGGATCAGTTGCAACGGTACAGCTGTTGCTTAAATCTGTCTCCCACCTTGACGGCGTCGAAGAGCTATTAGAACTAGCCGAACAAAACCAGGAAATTACACGAATAATCCACACCATGATCAACCAGGGAAAGTTTGTCCCAGAGCTTCAAAGCAAAATTAACGTTGTATTCGTTCATGGATATTACGAATCTCCTACCAAGACGTGGTCCGATGGGTCAGCTTCATGGCTGTGGCTGTAAGGGAACGGCCCCACTT